TTGGTGAAAATGCGACAGAGCATTATCATTAAATAATTTTTTAGCGCGCATAGCCACTGCCTTATTAGGGTGATGCTTCTCAATGTACGATGCAACAGTTTCCCATGCTTTCAGCATTTCTCTTATTGCGCTAGAAGATTGTTGATTTGCTGTTACCTCCTCCTCCTCTGACAAACTCTCCCCACACTTCTTACTGTGAAACACAATGCAACTCCATAAGTTCTTCGGTGGTCAGCCCTTGGCTGTGCTCTTCCACAAGCTCATCAATATCATTGTTATCCACATCCAGCCCCATGATCTTGGTCAAAGACACAATCTTGTTGACTACAGGTTCCACAGGTACTATCTCAAACCCCTCAAAGTCACATTCGACAACGCTCCTCGGCCAAAGCTTCTTCCAAGCAGAAGTGAGGGTTCTCTTGGTAACCCCTTCCCACGCCTTTTCGATCATCTTGAGGCAGGCAACGATGTAATACTGATATTTCCAAAACTCTCTGAGAGTGAGACTGGTCCCTTCAGTCACCTCAAAACAACGCTCGAAGAGTGCTTTAGTGTACAGCTTCTTAAAGTTAGAAATAACCTGCTGGTCCATAGGCTGGAGTAACGGAGTGGTGTTGGGAGGCAGAAACTGGATCTTGATGAATTTAAATTCTTCAAGGAGGTCATCTTGTAGGCCTGGAGGATGGGCAGGAGCGTTGTCCATAACAAGCAAGACATGGAGTGGCAGATTCATCTCAAGCAAATATTTTTTCACAGAAGGACCAAACACTTCATTGATCCAACCAGTAAAATGGTCACGTGTCACCCAAGCCTTGCTGTTGAAACTCCACATCACATTTAGCCTGCTCTTCTGGACTTTACACTTCTTGAAGGTTCCTGGAATTTCTGAATGGTAAACAAGCAGCGGTTTAATTTTCAAATCGCCGCTTGCATCGGCACAAAATAGCAGAGTGAGACGGTCTTTCATTGGCTTATGGACGGGCAGTGCATTATCCTCTGCTGTTATATAGGTTCGCTTCGGCATCTTTTTCCAGAAGAGACCCGTCTCGTCACAATTAAAAACCTGTTGCGGCAGGTAACCCTCAGGATCTACGCGCTTCTTGAAGTCGCCGAAGAAGTTCTCTGCTGCCTCTGTGTCGGAGCTTGCTGCTTCACTGTGCCTTACACGCTGTGGATGCCGGTTCTTCTCTTAAACTTCTCGAACCACCCACCGCTTCCTTTAAATGCTTTTCCTCCGGCCGTTGATGCTCCTGGCGCCTTCTTAACGAGGTCGGCGAAAATCACTTTCGTCTTCTCACAGATGATGTTCTCGTTATTAGTGTCGCCTTGCAATTGCTTTTCGTTTATCCATATGAGGTGCAACCCATCAACATCGTCGAGAATACGTAACCGTTGCGTGGATATTCTTGTCACTCCCTTTGAAGCATCTGTCTCCTTAATCTTGTCCTTGTTCTTGAGGATAGTGCAAGGCGTTGATGTAGACCGATTGTATGTGCCTGCTAGATCAGCCACGCTCACACCTCGTTCTCGCTTTTCAATGATTTTACGTTTCACTTTTACGGTTATTTTTATTCTCTTATGGCTGTCTTTTTGCGGCTTTTTCTTCGGGGACATTTTTGCAAGGGTTATTAGACTTTGCACAAAAGAAATCGCAAATAATGTGTCTGAACACAAGTTTGGAAAAATGTGTGATCACAAGCGACACTAAGAGCTAGCGGAACGAGTGCTAAACACAGACTGATGTAGCAAGCGCACAATCCGGGACTTCCCCTCTCGTCACTCGTTATGCGAGTCCTTTTTTTTAACAATCGGTTTTGCTCGTTATGCGAATTACTCGTTATGTGAGGTGCTCGTTAAGCGAGGTTCCACTACTATAAGATCTGTTACAGAGAAAAAGATTACAGTCACGCTGCTGCCCATCCCTCTCCCCCTCCGCCGTCTTATGTTAAAATAATAACACAACGAAACTCCTTATAAGTTCATGTCTGCCACTGAACTCAGTCTTCGTTTCATCCCATATGTTGGCTGCCTTTGCAGATTTCTCATCTTAATCTCTTGAGCGGACATTGTACCAGTTCATAATGACGCTTTCTCGCCGCCGAAATTGGTGAAGCGGTAGCGTTCCAGGCTTGTATTCAGCAAGTTCTAGGTTCGAATGTCAGCCGGGCCGCTGGTTATAATCACAAATTTTTATGGTCCTCTTTAGTCCACATGCCAGGATAGTGGGTCACTACCGTTTGCTACCAAATCTTTTTCAATTTGTTCTTCTCTGATCATTCCACCCCTCCGCGGCCGCTAGAGCGCTAGAGTACTGTCAGCGTCCTAAATCGAAACCAAATTATTATTACCTTTCCTCGCTTTACGTCGGAAGCTGTTTGGTTGTCATAGAAAAAAAAATCTTCATGTCTGGGACTACCCGCAGCGTAAGGCCTCCCTTTTAAGCTCTTCAAGGCTTAGTTTCGATCGATCTCTCCCACGCTGAAGGCCTACCACTCGAACAAACAGGCTTATGCAGGCCTAAATCCGAAAATTTTGGAAGTCTGACGTCTAACTGGCCGATCATGGTGGCCCCATAAACTGTCTTCGCCCGCTCCAACTCTGTGGTCGTGGGTTCAAATCTCACTCTACGCATCCTATGTGCGTTTATTTTGTGGTCGTGCTATCCTATGCATGTACAAATCTTGCGACAGTCTTATCCCCTGTCGAAGTAGACCTACCGACTGATATAAGATTATCAAACTGAAAAAGAGAACAGGGGGCAGAAAGGGCTGTAGAGCCATTGATGAATGGATGAATGAATGAATTTCCTGCAGTCGATCTTGTCTCCCGTGCTCTGTTATACGTAATCTTCTCGCAACTGAAGTCTGCAGGTGATGACCATAGCGCAACAACATGCTGGAGTTAACTATTAAATAAATTATTATCCATATTTCGGTTGTAATTTTTGAGGGGGGATTTTACGGTGCTTTCAGCAGTTAGAATAGTAGTATGTCTGATGAATGATGAACGGGAAAGTATTTGGAAGGATGCGGTCATGGCTTAATCGAGGTAGTACTCTTGAAAGTTGTTGAAGGAAACCACGAAGAACCGCAGTGAGGATAGCTAGTGTACCCGCTGAGGTTTGAACTGAGCACCTGTCGAGTATGAATCCAGTCTGAATCTACCCCTTACCCTACTGCAGCTGAACTCTGATGGATTTTGTATGCGGGCCATCTCTGAACCTGCAGAAAGAGAGAGGAACAGCAGGAAAACTGAAAACTTGACTTTCGTGATGGCTAAATTTCTCATAGAATATGTCTTTTTTTCGTAACCACGGGTCCTCGCCATTTCCCCGAAACACCATGCCGCTCTCCTGCACTGAGCAATGCTGGGCGATGTGTCACTGTTGCGCTTCAGCGACGCTTTGCCTGCCCCACTGTGGCCAAGCTGAGTTGTGCTAATTGCATGGCGATCCCATAAAGGGAGTTATGGAGGAGCGGCAGGATTGCCGGAATCATATGAACATCTCTACCAACGCGGGACTCGACGCGAGACCTGAAGTATGGACTGCCTCGGATCAGACCATTTTCAACGGCCCGTTTTCAAAGACCGTATCTGAACTCTACTCGTGGTTCAATTTGGCCTCAGTGAAACGAGGGCAGACAGAAACATACGCGAAATAAGAGTCACACAGGCGCATTTCATTTGGGTATTGAAAAGCGACTGTAAATATTTACCCTTTCGTCTGTAACAGCTCTTGCCGTGTTCAGTGTTCAGTGTTATGTGGAATGGGTAACTCGTTCGTCACGCATGTTAGGGTCCTTCTTGAATCCAGGCTGTCCGGCGCCAACCAATCCTGCCCACCGCACAACATGTACCGGTTAGAAGTCGTGTATTCCCTAGGAAGACAACCGACGTTTCGGAACGTTTGGGAACGAAACAAAATCATAAAATCCAACGACTGGCTCGATGATGTAAAGCATCAATTGAAGTATTTTATTCTTGTTTTATACTATAACTTTTGTTTTATATAATCTAATTTATTGCAGTTTTATGTCAAGTATTTTAAAGTAATTAATATTATTGTATCCAATTTTACTAGTGCTGCGCTTCAGTGGTGTATATATGTTAACCGTGTATTTGCCTGATGATGGCTATTAATAGCCGAAACATGTAGCAGAGCCAAAACCAGGCACTGACCTTGATATAGTTGTGCTGTGACGGTTTTAATAAAGAATTTATGTAATATAACACAACAGGATGCATGAAATGAAAAATATGTGGAACTGTATATACACTCCCCTTATACGTCTTCATGTAATGGTATTAGTTAATTGAAAAGGAGAGCTAGCTTGCTGCCTCACTCTTAGACTCTGAAGGTGGAGGTAGTATGTTCGTCCGAAACATTGGTAATCTACCAGACTACACGGGGTCACTTCCCGGATGCCGCACTTGCGTTCACGGCGTGATTCATCCCACCACATCTACGACGTAAGGCTTGGATCACACGAGGCAAATAATGGATCAGCATGCGCACTGGGAAACGACCTCGTTCTACCCAGTCCTCATTTCGCCATTCAAAATCATTTTTTGCGTTTTACTGCACACGAGCTTTGAAAGAGTCTTTTCCAAAACTAGAACGGTCACTGCTGTTTTTCTCTTTACTTTCTTTTTATTCAAAAGAAACGAAAGATGCTCAGAAGCCGTTAAGATCAACCGCTAAGAACAGTTCCCCGCACCACCCTCCTCTGCGCGCATGGTGAAGGAGGTTGTCGTGGCAACACTGCCAGTCGGACAAACGTGACGTAGCAAAGCGCACAGCGCGTCAGTGCGAAGCGGGATTCTGGAGTTGTAGGTTGCACGTTGTTGTGTACCTACGGGGCGACATGGCTCCGTGAGTAATCGTATTCCAGCTAATAGTTGAACACTGAACAAACTTACTAAGCGTGTGAGCGTGTGCCTGTGATTTGTGTATTGTGCTTTAAGTGTCGTGGTGTGTTTAGTTGAATGTGTGTAAGTGCTAGTGTGATTTGACGTTTCATCGCGGTCTTGATTTTGTCTGGAACCTTCACATCATATCGTCGCTTGGAGTACACATTTGTGAGTACATTTAGTGCTTATCTTTATAACAGTAACAACAGTTTGTGTGTTTTATCCTCATTTATCTTTCCCTAACCTCTGGCTTATAATCTTTCATCATTCTCGGAAAACGTAGAAGTCTTGACTGCTGTAAAGGTCTGGCAGGCTTCCAGAATATCGTGCAGTTGCGGAGGAACAATCCATCTCGTGACCTCGATCTATACAGATTGTTAATGTAGGCAGCTGTAAGCAAATCAGGGAAGCATCGACCTAGATCAAAACGTCAAGAGTGCGGATTCGTGAAGCAGTTCGTTGGCTAAGCACAATCTGCTTCAGAGAGCAGAATTAATCCTTAAGGTAAATGATGTACTGAAACATTGCTGGTTATATATACAATGGTATGCCTTGTGGCTGGGACGTCACGGTGAAATACAAGTAGATCGTTCTTAAATTAAAGTTGTCCCTGTGCTTAACCAATTAAGCACTGCGCCACGAAGACGTATGGGGGAGTGGATGTATAGGCCCAAGTTTTCTTCACACCGGTACTTGATGGAGGTGAGTGGTCAGCTTCTCGCCTCGGACGCTTTACCCCCGGGGAAAGCCCCCCGGTACCCACTGGCTAGGAAGCTGGTTGGACCCCCAGAGCCGGTTTGGACTAGGTGGAGGAGAGAAAATTCTTGACCCTACCAGGACTCGAACTCTGACCGCTCAGTCGTCCAGCCCGTAGCCTGTCGCTATAACGACTCCACTCTTCCGGCTTTGAAGATAACGCGCTGTGTTAAAATGGAAAAGCGCACAGTACCAATATTGTGAGTAAAAGAACCACGTCTGTAGAATGAGAGCACTCGGTGTGAATGATGCTGGCAAATACAAAAATGAAATATAAACACTCTTAATGTATTTTTAATCTCTGGATTCTTAATACTGATGGGCGGCCCTGGGGTTTACTCAACCTCCTATCCAGTGGGTACCGGGGATGAAGTGGCCGCGGCATGAATCTAATCATTCACCTCCAGTTAATGCCGAGTTCAAGAAAGTGTGGATCTATACATCCACTTCTCTATACGTCTTCGTGGCGCAGTACTTTTCATTTTGCACAGGGATCCTTCCAGACGCATTATGGCCCTGGGGTCGACTCAGCCTCTAACAGAAATGAGTACCAGGAATCTTCCTGTGGGTAAAGGGCGGCCGGTCGGCTCGTAAGTCTGACAACCTCACCGCCATCTGTGAGCCGATTGTCCAGAGGATGTGGGAGCCTCGACGTCTCAACTGTATGGACATCCACGTCCTGTTACAGGGATAGCTTTACCTTCACCTTAAAGAGATCATTTTAGCTTAATTTGACATTAAAATTTTGATTTCTTTTCAAGTCGTGACTTTACTCCCACAGGAGCCTTTTCCAAGCCTTTCCTCCCAGGAGAACTCGCCCCCTTCCCCCGGTTGAGAAGCACTGTAGTTGGTTTTTCTTCGTATGTCAGTGTTGGATTTGCGTATAGCTTCAATACCGTACAACGAACTTGCTGCTGGCGCTGTCAGGTAAATGTTTTGCTTTCGTATTCTCTTGTTGTAATGTAAAACAATGAAGCCACGGGCAGATAAGATTTAACATGAAACTGTTAATACAGTAACTTTTTTTGTTGTTTTTGTGGCGAATTAAATTGGCCTTTCCATCTTTGTAATGTTCCTGTGACGACGCCTTACGGTCGAACGTGCGAGATCACGGCTGTGTTGCTGTTTGTTGTTGTTCCGCCAGGATGGTTCCATGGTGCTGAAACAAAAGGTCACTGTTGAATAACCGTGGGGCATTTCAGAAATCCTGTCTTCAGAGTGTGGGTGTATCGATTGTATGAAGCCTTGTATAAATGTAATGAAGTGCCCAGTTCACTGCTAAGCATTGCAGTTCAGGCAAGGAATGTTGACAGACTGTGTTTGGAATTAGCCTTTTGAAACCTAGTGGTTAGTACAAGGAGCGTTCCGTATTAATGCCTCCTATTTTTTAATGAAAACTACAACAGATACAGGAAGCATAATAACGAAATGAAATAGAGCAAGATTTCAGCTACTTACAGTTATTTTTCCACATAATCGCCACCATTCGTTATGCACTTTTGCCAGCGATGAACAAGATCCTGTATGCCGAGCCCGTAAAGGTTTGCGGTAGCCACTTTCTTACAGCTGCAATGACAGCATCGTTGTCTGGAAAATGTTGCCCACGCAGTCCATCTTTCATAGGTCCAAAGAGATGGAAGTCTGAAGGTGCTGAACCGGGGCTATAAGGTGGATGTGGTGGGACAGTCCAGCCAAACTTCGCAATGTGCGCGGTGGTCGCCAAACTGGTATGGGGTCTAGCGTTATCGTCTTACAAGTGAAATGTTGTCTTTTTCTCTGAACTCACTCGGGAAATGCGGGCCTGCAGCTTAGTCAGCGTCGTCTTGTAGCGTTAAGAATTGACAGTCTCACCAGGCTCCAGGAAATTCAAGAAAATCACACCCCGCCTATCCCAAAAGACCGTGCACAACACTCTCCCTGCCGATGCCTGTGTCTTGAACTGTTTTTCTTGGGGAATCCGGATGTCGCCACTCCATGGACTGTCTTTTGGATTCCAGCTCTTAGTGGTGACACCACGTATCATCTCCGGTGAAGATGCTGTCCAGAAACTTGTCACCTTCAGCCTCAAATTGGTGCAACAGGTCCTGACAGACCTCCATTCGAAGAGTTTTGTGGTCCTGTGTAAGCATCTGCCGGACCCACCTGGAACAACCTTTGCAGTAATCCAGCTTCCCCAACATCATTTCCAATACATTACAGCCGATATTAAGCCATGCACACAGTTCCCTGGTTGTTATCTGCCGATCGGTACGGATGAGCTGATCGAGGCGCTGTTCATTGTGAGGAGTGGCAGCTGAGCAGGGACGCCCATGGCGTGGCTTGTCATGCACTTCACTTTCGCAACTGTTGAAACGCACTACTCACCGTCTCACTGTGCTGACATCCACTGTTTCGTCTCCGTACACCTGTAGCAAGCGTCGATGGATGTCACTGGGTGCAATTTGTTCGGCAGTGAGAAATTCAGTAACACAAATCTGCTTAGTACGCACTTCTGTGCCAGACGCCATTTTGGTAGATTGCTCTGCTGTCGCTATCTGTCGCACGACAACCAAACTAACAAGAGTACATTGGCGGGAAGGTTCAACCTTTACTACAGCACCACAAACATCCAGCTCAGACGTTACAGATTAACACACAAAAATAGGAGGCATTATATATGGAACGCCCTTCGTATATGTATACAACCTGCTTTAACATACCAAAACTCAACCTTCTGCCCACAGAGTTCATTTGCATGTTCTGTATCATTTTCACAATAAACAGCGATTTTCCCGAAATAGAGTTAACTGGCTGCTGTTTGTAGCGGAGACGTAATGTGTTTCCTGTGAGGTACGAACTGAATTGTTATATATTATTTGGAAGTGTATTTATGGCTTCCGTATGGTTCTCATAACGAACAGCGACTGTTCCCCTAAACAGCATTAACCGGTTGGACTTTGCTGCGGAGACGTAATGTGTTTCCTGCGAGGGACGAACTGAATTCTTACATATTATTTGGAAGTGTATTTGTGTGTTCCATATGGTTCTCATGATAAACGACTGTTTCCCCAAATAACATTAACCGGCTGGGCTTTGTAGCGGAGACGTAATGTGTATAGAAGAAATTCAGGCTTTAAATCTCTGCGTGGAGACGGGTTCGAATACCTCCACCGTTGCCCTGCGAGTCGTAGGATGCGAAGCAAAAGGGAACAGTGTGCCTCGGGGCATAACTGGGCCACCCCGTTCCTTGGGGATATAAATACAGGGCCCTGTTTTGTTGCAATGCAGTGACTTTTGTCTTATTGTTTCCCCATTTTATGAGCGTTCTTCTCAGAGTTCAGAAAGAACGCGTTTTGTAGATGTCATGTCTGTCCATCTGTCTGTCAGATAGTATAAGCGCCTGGTTGTTAAACATGTCCTTCAAAGAAATCGAAGTAGGAAATTTTCTCCTTAAGTTGTATGGAAATTTCGGTTTTCTGCCACGGTGATCAGGATGAAGTCGAAGCTGTTCCTACTTGGGACCATGAATGGATAGGCAGAATTTAAGAAAGGTTAATAAACTGTAAAGACTCCATTCGAATATTTTATGCATCGTACGGAATAGGGTTAGCTCAGTCGTTATAGTGACGACTGCGGAATCTGGGTTCGATTCTCGGTAGTGGTAGATGATTGTTTTCTTCGTTGTAGCTTCCAGACTAGCTCAGACCCACCCAGTCTCCTATCCAAAGGATATCGGAAACAATTTCCCTGGGGTAAAGCGGCCGGAATGTGAAGCTGACCATCTTCGGGTAGTGCCAAGGTTGAGAATGTGTGGAGCTATACGTGCACTTCTCTGTACGTCTTTATGGCGTTTAGTTTTACTTTACTTTTGACTTTACATTACGGAGTAGGCAGCATGTTTTCGTACGAGGAAGTCGCGTGCTACGGCTGATCGAGGTCCGACATGACAGTTTTCATAGTTTTCAGAGTTCAGGCTTACATGGTCTCGTGCCCTGAAACACGCCAGCAGAGCACACCTGCTCACTTTGGTGACGGACATTGTTTCCTATCCTGACAACTCGAAATTCGCCACGAAATTAAGGAGACCCATTTTCCACCAGAACTTGACGGCCGAGGAATCGGGATTCGATGTATGGCAGGTACAGAGATTCTTATCTTGTGCTTGGTGTCGAGACCATCTCCTATACAGTACGAGTAAGTTCCTAGGGATATTTCTTGTGTGTGTGTGGGGGGGGGGGGGGAAGCGGCAAGGTTTTGAAGCTGGCCACAGACCTCCATCGGGTGTCGAGTTTAAGGAGGATGGAGCTATACCACCAGTCCCCCACACGTCTTGCAGACGTGCTTAATTAAGTGTATGCACCGTTACGACTGTGTTCTACAGAGTAAATTTTAACAGTTCCGCATAGATGGCTCCATAGTGGTAAATGCAGTTT